CTTCATCCTTAAATAAATAAATAAAACGTTATCCACCATTGGTTGTGTAATCAATATAAGTACAGTGTAGAAAAAGTAACACTGCGAATCACACTGACAAGCAGCTCTTCAATGCAGCAGGAAGAAGGTCCGGAGCTCAATAAGGAGCACACAGCACTTTTCAGATTTTTTTCTTTTATAGAGAAGATGGGAAACGATGCATCATTTTCACCTTTTGCTGGTGTGTCACATGAAATTCCAATTTATATAAATATAATGAATCTGGAGGCTGTGATTACAAAATGTGTAAAACCACAAAAAAGATTTAGAGAAGAATTTTATATATGATACAGATTATGTAATCATGAACTCATACATGTATGACTATAGATAGGTTATAGATAGAAAGGCCCAGGACTTTATTGGGTATAATGTAAGCATAAGAATAGTTGAAGCCTGACTCACTGTGTGTTTGTGTCCCTAGTGGCCGACAGCAGCAGTAACTGGGCCGTGTGTGGGAAGAGTTCTGGGATGGTGTTGATGCCTCTGAAGGCCAACGCCACGCACAAGGTGCAGATCGAGGTGATGCCGCTGTTCGCAGGTCACCTGCCCTTCCCCAAAATCAAGGTCCTTAAGTACCTGCCACACAACGCTGCAGCGGCCATCCAGCCAGACCCTGGTAAGGTCCCTCTGAGAGTAAAGATGATTTTTTTTTTTTTTCTTCTTTTTTCTTCTTTTACTTGCCGGATTTTTGTCTCTATCTCTCTAATATCTGCGGCGCCTCTGAGACTTTTTACCGCGTCTTTTTGTGTTTTTTCTTCTTGCCGCCCACAGACAGCTGTGTAGAGAACGACAGTCTGTCCCTGCTGGACAAGACGCTGGACGACCAGGCAGACACGGCGAGCATCCGCAGCCGAGGCAGCATCCACTCAGTGGGCAGCAGCGACCAGCAGCAGAAGGGCGTGGCAATGCCGCGCCTCGAACCCTTCAGCCCGGGACAGGTGTTCAATAACAGCCACTCACAGCAGGTTCTGGTTCTGCCCACCACCGACGACCACATCATGGAGGTCAACGCCACATGACCCTGGGGCTGAGGCTACCCACGCTCCCTGTTTTGGGGGACTTCACCCTCCCAGCCTCTCTGGATGAACTCGTCTGAGCGACAGAGCGTGTCCGGGCCGGGTCTGTGTCTAAGACCGCCGACAGAGACTCGCCCACCTACGCATGAAAACGTTCAATTCACTAAAAACATGACGCACTGAGCAGCGAAGAGCCAACAACATCTGAAGATAAATTTAAATAAAAACATGTTCCTTGCCATACTTTGTACATATCTCACCGAATGGATTTATAGATATAAATATAAATATATATATGAACTGAAGAATCAAATCGGCGCCAGTCGTGCTATTTTGAACTGAAGGAAAACAGTCCTGATTGTCTGATGTTGCACCAAAGCTCTTGATGTTTGTACGCCATGATCTGCTACTGAAGTACTGTAACTGAGTGGGTGCAGCCCGCCGTAGTGACGTTCTGGACCTCTCAAACATCTGGTTATAATTAAGTGAAAATATTTCCTTGAAACGGCTTTTATCATGTCTATTTCCTCCTGATGTACCTTACTGGGATTTCAACTTTATGATTTGGAATTAGAGTCCAGAGCTGCTATCAGCAGCACTAAAGAGACGGAGCCTCATGCTGAATTAAAAAAATTGGGTCAATTTTTTAAACCAGTGCTGTATCTCTAGCTAATGTTGGTTCATATTGAGTATTAAAGTGAATCATCTGACATAATCAGCAGCTGAGTAAAAAAAAAAGAATCATCAAATAATTCAAACATTTTAAAAGCACAGTCTCAGTTTTAACTACAGAAGGAAAAAATGTTCTGTGTTTTATCTAAGAGGTCAAAGTCATGGAGACGTATTTAAAGTAAAAACAAATCCTTAAGTCTTAATTATGAACCCAATGATAAAATAAGCTCAGGCTGATGAGGCTTTGTTTTTTTTTTTCTTTCTTTGCTGTGGTTCTTTGTCCGTGTGGGTGATCAGGTGAGGCTCCTGCAGTGCCGTCCACCATCTTTGGGATCGCTTTTATACGGCGCTTCATGTGCATATTTATTTGGTATATGTCCGAGCTATGCACACATGCTGCTGATCTGGTTGAATGAAAGAAATAAGGCAGTCCTCTATTTAATCAGTTGTTTTGGAAAGGAGGAATGTCAGCAACGTCTGCCCCGCCCCTCGACCACCTGCTGTATTCTGAACTCTGTACATACGGATCTGTAAATAATGATTGAAATTAAAAAGGATCTTTGCCAACTGTATTAAAAACACGTTTCGGTTGCGGTCTGTTGGATGTGTGGTACATTAAAAAAAAACATGATGGGTGTTTCTTACTGATCATTGCCTTCAGATAGTTTCTTTTAGGAAGTCTTGTTTTTATAAATGAGAAAATGAAATTAAGTTTTATTCTAAAGTAGGAACCGGTTCTCACTGACAGGAATTTTAACCATCATTACAAACAGAATAGAAACCAATATTGTTTTCTTTCTAGTAAAAGGGTTAAATAGATGTAGATGTGTAATTTTTTTCTAAAGTGAATCTTGAAGATTATAAAGATTTTGTACACAGTTATTATATTTAGTGTTTATAATAATTTTATTCATGTTTCACTGGTAGAAATTCAGCATTTCTTAAAAGAAAACTAACTTCACATGTTCCACAAAAATGTAAAAGGTCCCTATTATAGAAGCTGGAGGTACAGAATAGAGAGAAAGTTGAGTGGAGGGAAAAAAAACAAGGGTTACTGGTGCATGTGAAGACCATTTGGGGCAGAAACGGACTGGGTTCATTGGGTCTGAAGCCACTTCATTCAGATGTTTTTTTAGGGTGTTTGGTGGAATTATTAAATTCCTCTTGTTAAATCTCTCCTGAACCAAAAATGACCCCAGAAGTTTCTGGTACTTGGTACAACAGACTTTCAAAAGGTCCTACACTGCAAAACAATCTATAAATAAGTCAACATTTCTTAAATGAAGTGTATTTCCCCCTAATTTTAGTAGGTAAACAAGATGATTTACCAACGGAATGAGATTTTTTACTCCTAAAAATGAATATGCACCTGAAAAAAGACTGCTATTGTTTTGTCTTATTTTAAATGTAAATTGTCTTATGCCATTGGCAAAGTGTCTCACTTACCTCCTCGACTCAAGAACAAATGCACTTATATTAAGAGAAAATCACTTCTCTAGATTTCGATTTTTTCCAGTGTAGAGTCAGAATCCACATTTCTTGAGTTCCAGTATCACGTTTCCACAGTTAATGATTGGAGGAATAATGTCATCTGCTTGTTGTCATCCACTGAGTCAAAGTTCAGA